GTGTGTATGTTTGTCTTGTGTAAGGGATTGTCACCTACAAGTAGGACAGTGATATATTCGCTATTGACAATCCTTGGCACATGTATTGTGTGCCTAAATAAATAAATAAATAAAATAAACACTTGTTAGAAAAGAAGCAAATTTTTTTGTAAGGAACTCTGCCTTAAAAATATTCGCTATTGAAAATCCTTGTCACATGTATTGTGTGCCTAAATAAATAAATAAATAAAATAAACACTTGTTAGAAAAGAAGCAAATTTTTTTGTAAGGAACTCTGCCTTAAAAAAGCATTTTTAAACTGCGAGAGTGCCCACTAAAAATTTGCTCACCTCAGCCCCAACCATGGTGGGTGTGGATCTCCTACCTTGAACACCTCTTCCAGAAATCTCTAACAGCACTGCCAGTAGTGGTGGAGGATGGGGTGTCTGATTTTCCATTGAAAGCTAATATAAGCAATTCATATAGGCATACAGAATTTTATTTATCAAGTTTTTAGCTCATAATAGTATTAAAAATTGATATATAAAAGCCTGTTACTGCCAAAATTCATGTTTAAAATTATCTAGTTTATTGCATTCAATTAACAAGATTTGGAAGGTTACATAGATGCATTAAAAAGAAAACTACTAATAGCAACAGGATGTTTATCAAACATAATTTCTCAGGGGAACCATTAAGAATAACACAGAAATCTTCAGCAATCTACTACACAGGAAAAAAAATAAGAGAACCAGTTATCTGATAAGACCTGTGGGAAAAGAGTAGAAGAAAACATGTCCAAATATGGTTTACACTGATCCTTAAAAAAAGTAAAAAAAAAAAAGATATTGCTACATATTAGATTAAAGATAAAGAATAACAAGTCTGAATGATTCTATCACAGACAATTTTAAAGAGGCAGTGCTCACATCATTGTGAGGTAGCATTTCTTAATAAAAATATACTGCTTAGGCCATGTAAAATAAAATAACTGGTTAGCATCCCCTCCCTACCATCAAAAAGGCCACCGACTCGATTTTTTTTTTTTTACAATACACTCACAAACTCAATTTAATATAGGTTTGTTCTATGCTCTACTGTTGTTCTATAGGCCTATACTGTAGCCACATATGGTATCCATGATGCCTGTTGTGTTGAGGAGTGAATTGTGCATGATAATACATAGAGATAATTGCATTATGACGCCATTATTCATAGGTAAAGTTTCTGCTTGCTATAGATGCTTGTATGTAATTTTGGTCTCTTTTGTTTTATTCTTCTTTTTTGGCTGTTTTTCCTTGCGAAACTCTTTTTTCATGTTCGATGCAAAAAAAAAAAACCTCCCTCCCTACCATGAAAATTGATAACATAAGGATGCTAACCAATTGTTTTATTTTACATGGCCTTATTTTATTTTTTTTTGTCTCAAAACATTAAAATTTACAACAAAAAATAAACAAAACCAAAAACCCAATAAATGGAATGAAAAAACACATGTGATCTAAATCCGTTTTAAGTGGGTACCCTTGCAAGTAAAGAAAATGCATACAATGCTGTATACAATTTTCAGGTTTTTTTCTTCATTTTTTTCAATGGCAGTATAGTCCTTTTTTTTAAATAGAAATTTTGTATATTACTAGTGTTTAAATGATGACATGGTGCATTAATTGTATGCCCATATATAGTCATGATGTGAATATATGGTCATTATGTGTTATCATTATGACCATATATGGGCATGTCACATGTTTTTGTCTTGATAGTCTTGAAAGGGCTTTACAGTTACACACAACCACAGATTTGAATGTGGGGAAGATTTAAACTTGAATTTAACTTAAGAATTTTTAACTTGGGGAACGTTTTACATTTTGTCCAAAATACAAATATATAATTGGTTTAAAAATTATTCAAAACAGTATGCTTTTTTTGCTTATAAAAGATATAAAGATTTGACATCCATAACTGTATGCCTGCCTGTGTTTTCACTGAATTGGAAAATTTTCCAATAAAAAATTGGCCAATAAAATTACTTCTGAAACAGGGCTTAACAGATTCCAAATTTTCAAAAACGCATTTCATTAAGACCCCTGCAACACCTAGATCTAGAGAAATTGTTATCTTCCCTTTCTGCATCAAAACATTGTACGACATATCATATTTAAAATGTCCACCAATTATGAATACAGTACTAGAAATTACTTTTGTTAATATCCGTTCATTGCCAAGTTTCTCACAAGACGAGACAGGAGAAAGGCTCAGTCATAACTTCCGTTGCAAGTACTGCACATTGCAATTTAGTCCAAATGAGTCTACAGAAGCTTTTCTCTCGAATAATTTTATCAGATAATTTTTTTGTTGCTGCTGAAATGTTAGGCCTACCTATATATATCATAAAAGCTTTTAGCGAAATGTTTACCATATTATTATATATTCAGATATGATATTGTAATAAAGTTGCTTGTAAGTACGGTATATATCTAATGGCCATATATTATTATCACAGACTACCATATGGGAACCAAGATGTTACCTTTCCTAAATGAATGCAGATTCAGAAGCAGATTTAAACATAAACAGGATACCCCTCCACAAAGCCCAAATTTTATGTATGTTTTTTTATATCTTTTTTTAAGACCATTGAAAATACTGTACATCTATTAGATTATCAACCTTGTTGTGGGACCATGTATTCATGAGAATACAGTATATATTGGTACAGTAATTATTTTACACTCCTGCGAATGGGCAAAATACTCCTGAAAACTTATCTCCCTCAAATTCATCATGTAATACTGTATATTATTGTCTCCCGGAATTTAGCTGGCAGTGGGTATCATCATATGCAGCAAAATACACTATAATTAAATGTGGCGATGTATCCTGGCGGTTAAGGTGCTCGCCTTCCAATATCAAGGTCCTGGGTTTTCTCATGATTTGAAACACATCTTCACTTCCTAAGCCTCGTAGTGACACTTCACCGATTGATATAAAATTAGATGTGTAAATGGCCAATGCAGGGGCGCCGCAACCTCACAGCCATAACATTGGCGCTGGTTCGACAATACACTCGTCTATGGTTCTGGTGGTGGACAAGTCTTCTTGGATTAGAACTATAAACTGTAGGCCCAGTGCTCATGCACTTTAAAGAACCCAGTACATCTTACGAGACAAGTAGGGGGTCACTGCTTCACAAAGCTCTTGTTGTGGACAGACGAGAGATAGTGGTAGTAGTAGCTCAGGAAGAGTGATGGTGCGATCAACCCCCTAAATTTTATTAAGAAAAATAATTGTTGTATTGTTGATATATTATTTTTATCATTACTGTATGAAAATAGTACCAAAAATATTTTTAAAGTACATATTGCAGTTTCCGGGCACTTACGAGGCCCATATTCTAAAAACTTCCATACCTCTGCCCCAACCATAGTGGGGATGAGGTAGTTTTTTTATGGTTATTTAATTATTTGGATTTGACAAGTGTCTATATAGACTCTTGTACAATTTCGGTATCAATTCTGGACTAGATATGTCTTTTAAAGTCACTGTATGTGAAGGTGTAAATACTTTAAACACAAAATATGATCTAATTTTTTGTATAATAGGCTTCTTTTTTTGTTTTCATATATTGCATATTGTTGTGCAATGTAATTAAAGTGGATATTGGCCCTTGATGAAAGTCACTGTATGTGAAGGTGTAAATACTTTAAACACAAAATATGATCTAATTTTTTGTATAATAGGCTTCTTTTTTTGTTTTCATATATTGCATATTGTTGTGCAATGTAATTAAAGTGGATATTGGCCCTTGATGGCACTTGTGCTACTTGAATAATAACGTTGAATTATTGATAATTAAATATTTTGCTGTCCCGCTCAGTAGGATTTTGTTGTGAATGCGATATAAATTTCATATACCCTATCTCTCAAAAAAATATTACATGAAGGAGATATTCACCAAAACAGGTCAGTCACATTTTTTACAAAATGTTGATTTCAATGTTTTTTAGTAATTTGATACTTATATTTTATGATTGTATACTTTTGATTTTCCAACCATGAGACTCACTTTGTGGTGAGACCTTGCATATGCCTGACAACTTTCCAAACACAGATAAGAACAAAATACATGTTTTGCTGTCTCTCAGATGATGGTTTTAATACCTTCTTAAAAATAAATAATATAATAAAATAGAACTCCGAATATTTTCTTATGCAAACATTGTGTGAATGATTTTCCTCACTCAAAATCAGCCCCAAATTACAAATCTTTCAGCTTTGTGGTTTTTTATGTATTATACAATATAACAAAGTACATACCCAATCGTCTAATACTGTATATACACAAATAAAGTGCTTAACTTTCAAAACCATTTATCCTATCAGTAGTGTACCACATCATGGCTTTATGCTTCCTTTTGCAATCACTTTGGTTATTTCTCTGAGAAAACATTAACGTCGTTAGTTGGGCAGTAGTTTGTCTTTCAAAAAGGTGTGGCATGACAAAAATATTTTATTAAAATCCCATGATTATGACCATTAAAACATTAGTTGTAGCATTAAAATCCCATGATTATGACCATTAAAACATTAGTTGTAGCATTAAAATCCCATGATTATGACCATTAAAACATTAGTTGTAGCATTAGGCTTGAGGTATTTTTACTAACACTAGTAACATGAATAATTCAAAAAAAAAAATTTCTAACCAGTTTTATAACCAGTTTCTGTATTTTTATGCTGGGTTTTGATCATAATGTTCACTGTATATTTAGTGAAATGTTACATTTTTATGTATTTTGCCAAGGAAAACTATGTTCAATTTTTATATGAAGAGGAACAATTTTTATTACTGTATATAGGCATATATTTTTAATTGGCTGTTATTACCATAACTGTACAGAAACTATTTTATGCATGTCAACCATAGAGGAATGAAAACAACAGGCTTGTAAAGTGATGCATTAATTAAGTTTATAATAATAATAGGAAGCCATGATTTTTGTTTATCTCATTTGCATATTCCAATTAATACCTGTAATCAGTATTTACCAAACATATCTATGATAATTTATACAGTATACACATACCGGTACCTATTTACCACTTATAGTTCTTTCCTAGATATAATTTACATAATACACAAGTTCTTTACACACATTTGACTATTAAAATAATACCAAATAATAAAGGTGACTATGTAAATAACATACAACCACCTGTAACTATGCACACCTGTAGTCAAATGAGCCAAATTAAATAATGTGGTACTCAAATGTGCTTTTTATTTTAAAATAACATAAATTATAAATATCTAAACTTAAAAATAAAAGAAAATTTTGAATACATGTTTAAAGGCAGATACTGCCTTTTATTATATTAAGCTGTATTGGTGATTTCCACATTAAATTTAGGTAAAAGCATTCATTAAAGATATACTGTCCGTGTCAAGCATCTACAATAGAAAAAATAAATTTGAATATATTACAGGTGAAAAATACCCTGAAAACTAAATTTACTTACAACATATTCATAAGTAACACTTCATGTTCATATATAATTTACATATTTTGCATAGATCCTTAAATTTGCTGGTAATTGATTTTAAGGATTTTTATTGTAAAGTAATAATTGTTTTTATCTGTGCCTCGTTTGATCCTTTAGTTTTTTTTCCATAGTAATTACTACAGGCAGTATATCTTCAATGTCCCACTATAGATTGCAAATGCATAGATTCTTCATTACATTTTTGTATGCATGAATTTGTGTTAGTTGAAACTGGATATTGTGTGACCACTACAGTTCTAGTACAGTAGGAGTAGGACTAAATATTTCCAAAATCAGTAATAAATTTACTGATACTAAATATATTGTATAAAAAAGTCCACCAATGTTTTTCTAATGTAAACATGTAAATAGAGAAAATAACATCCTCATGCAGATGTTTTGGATGGCAGTAAATTTATAAAATATGTTTTATATCAAACTAAAGTATTGCATTTAAAATATATTTTCTAAAAATGCAAACTATAGAGAAAAAAAAGAATACAAAGCTACTGGCTTGGAATTAATGCAATTTAAAAACCAAAATATTTGAATTCAAATTGAATACAGAAGAGGCATAGCAATAAATAGAACTTTTTAAAACACCGGATATATTAAAATAAAAACAAAGGGCAGAGTTTACACCCCTTGGAAAACCTTTTTACACCACTCTCCAACTATCTTTGATAGGATGGTTATAAAATCAATATTTTGAAAGCTTAAAGTTGGCAAGAGTCCTGATTACATAAACCAGCACAGAGCATAACTTGTACAGTTTTGAGGCTATTGTGCACTATTTGTTTAAACTCTTTGAAATGGGAAAGTGATAACCAGGCATTGTTCGATGGTACACAATCACTCGTCATTGTGTACATAAATAACTATGGTAGAGAGTCAACAACTCTCAAGACCACTCAATATTATAAGCCAAATCGTAGTTGGAACTGCGCATTCGTATCAAGGTGAATCGACATCATACACACAACATAGGTTTTATGTCGAATGACCTCGATTGACCTTGGATACAAGCATGCGCAGTTTTAACTATGGATTTGCTTATTCCATTGAAATAAAGCTATAATAATTAAAATATGGGCTTTTCTTAAAATATAAAGAAATGTATAAAATACCATATTAAATTTTCAACAGTGTTCCTTCAGGACATTTCTTAGCAAATCCACAACACAAAGATGTTAGAGCTGTCAATAAATTTTGTATTGAAATGCAGTGATTAAACAACCTGCATTGAACTTTATTTGTGAACATGAGAGGAGGATTAACTATTTCAAAAGCACAATGATTTTGTGTGCACCCAATAGGGATTTATTCAGATCTTAAGCATTTAATATTTCTAAAGTCCTGACCAGACTTGAAAAAACATGTGGCATGCATAAATATGGTCATGATGACATCAAATCATGACCATATATAGGCACATCATGACCATATATAGGCACATCATGACTATATATAGGCACATCATGACTATATATGGGCATACAACAGGCTTTGGTCAATGGTCTTTAAGGCTAAGTATTTAATGAAACAAAAAAAGATATTTACAGCATTCAACTGCTAGCAGGCCCTTTGTTGCAATGTTTCTTTGACAAACTAGCCTTTCAAGTTTACAATCGTAGAATTTAATTTCCATTAAAAAAAAAAAGCTAAGCAGGATTTATAAATTTGTCAAAGTAAACCTCAGTTTATAATGAAGTAAACTACATAAAATAAATACTTGCAAAATGTACACATAATGTCCTGCAATAGTTAAACCTATACACTTCCATTTCTCTCAGTTCAAACCACTTTGGGGACAACACTGTTTTCACAAAGCTTAGAGGCATTGTTATCTTACCCCCAGTTGTTTTATCAGTTTGTGCAGTTCTTTTCCTATGGTTTATTGCTTGACATTGTGTTGAAAAAAATGTTTACAGCCTTTACAATTACACTGCTGTAATGTAAAATCATTTTATATGCAATCTCCCTTTCATTAATTTCATTGAGATAACAGACATATGAACCTACCACATTCTTAAAATGAATTGATTATAAATTGTTCCTTTAAATAATTTTAAGATTAAAATAGTTTTTTTTTGTTTTGTTATTCCTTCAGCAATCTAAATGCAGATGGTTTTATGGTTTAACTAATATACGATGGATTGAAAATGTAATGCATTTGCCAGATTCCTTGGCTAAAAATAGCTTTTTGTATGTTTGATATAATATTCAAGAGCCTGGAATTGTGGAGTTTAAATATATTATTAGAATATATACAGTGCATCATTTTGAAAACAGGCTCCATAATGTCTTCAGTAATTCTCTAAAATTGGTCTTCACTGGAAGAATCAAGCTGAAAATTAATCTTCATACCACAGCTAGTGACCTTTAGATCTGGCACTGAGGGATGCAGTAACCATATCATAACACAAATACTTGAGATTTCAAGTTTGGCTTGATGGCTGTTTGTGACAGGGTCAAAACAGAACTTATCCCCCAGGCCTGTGGACAGGAAGTAGCAGATACTGGTGCTAAGCATCTCAGGTCTTCATGTGTGGCAGAAATACATGCGAAATCTAAGCCCACTGATATATCTGCCCCAGGCGACATTAATTTATACTCCAGTAAAATCTGTGGCTTTTATTATACTGTAGCTGATCCCAAGTTTTATTAATAAAAAAAGTGTCAAGGATTTACACATCATCTTACAATTATCAGGATAAAATTATTATTACTGTACTTAAAATAAAGATACAACCTTTCACATCCTTGGTATTTCTTATAATTTACAGACAAAAATGTTAAATGTTATTTCATGATTAAGGTAAGTACAGTACATCTTATTTGACATAATGAAAACATGATTTAAATTAGAAGGGAAGGTGAAATTCTTCATTATACTTTGGCTGACTTAATGCATAATGGTGTTGCTAAAAATAACACTGCAAAGTGAGCATCAAATGATTGTTCACTGTAAGACATTTATCTGTTTATTCGTTTCCGTTATGCACTGCGGCTCCACTAACGAGAACAATAATGAAGGGATGGAATTCATATAGATTACGATTTCTGACGTTTGATAACCTATCTACTGAAACCAATTAAGGAAGCCCAAATTTACCAGCAAATGAATTAGGACTACTTACTGGGTTGTGTCAAATACATTTACTTTTGATCCACAACTATATGCCACATTTCACATTAAAAACCATGGGAAATTACTTCAGGAGTAGCTTAAGTTTTTTATGTGCATGTCTTTTTATGTTCTGATTTTTGTTTTGCGGAAATGAGTAATGCTTCAATAGGAAACCATGCTCGTATACTACTACTAGCTTTCAATTGAAATTTTGAAAAGTTTCCTGACCAATTGATTTGAATTCCTTGAATAAACTCTTAAATTGGATGGTACAGTACTTAAGAAATTTGTGGTTCTGAGTATATTCTTGATGTGTAAATCATTGAATTTGATTTTTGTTCTATCTAATTAAATGAGCTACTCGATATTTGATTGGATTTTTTTTTAGGGCTTTCCAAATTCTTATGTATATTTTTAAAATAATAATAAAAAAATATTCTTATGTATATTTTAAAATAATAATAAAATCAGACTTTTTACCAAATTGTTGAAAATTTAACTCAAAATCTATGAAAAAAATTCATTTACTTTTCTTTATTTGAAACCGTATGAAAATATACTGATGACAGAAAGGGAGATTGCATCAAAAGTGAAAGAGAGATAGGTGATAGTGCCCTCTTGGCCCCATTTTCGAATGCACTACGATAATTCAAATAATCTTAAAACTGCATTAAACCTCTGTAGAATAGTATTAATGTCCCTGTAACATCTCATTTAGCACACACACTATAAAGCCCACGCAGAAGCTAAATATTGTTAAATTCCTGGATTTCCAGACTTTTCTCTGTGATTACTGCACATTAAAATTTCCAGTTTATTGGCCGTCCTTCATAACATTCCATTGAAATTTGTTCTCTTACATTTGCAGCCAGTTTCGCGTCGAGTTGAGCATTTTCGACAACCCCATATGCATGCCCTTCCAGGAAGATAGCACAAAAGACATGGAAAAAGCAACGACATAACACCTATAGTGGACCACCGTACACAACATTTCTTATGATGACATGAACAGGGCTCGTCCACAAAAGTATTTTCATCAACATCATTGTCATTTGCTAAGCAATGATAAAATATACCGCGCACACAGCAAAAGCATGTGGAAGTATCCAGTACAGATTTCGGAGTGCACAAGCACCGTCTATTCAAAATAAGTTTACCGGCCGGTTCGTCGGCAAGTTTGCACTTAGGACAGCGGCACTGCTCGCAATATGGACAGATGTCCGGGTCTTTTGAGCAGGGAACTTGAAATGGTGTTGTACTACTTCGGCTTGTTCTACTGGTCTCTCGTTTAACAACTTTTAACACTTTAGTTTTCCCTTGCTGGTGGTCCGTTACAATAATAAGGCTAGTCCTCTGCTGCTGTGCAGGGTTCAATCCTGGGACCAACATATAATCCGAGAGTGGTTGCCCAAGATTGTTATTACTTATTACATCTTTTTGATTCGGTGGTGGAACATAGTCATTTGAGACTGCTTGCCCACCAGGGGCATTTTCGAGGGCATGTAGTTGACCATTGGTGTTATCAGTCAAGATCTCGTTGATGGATTCTGGCTGTGACTGTGGCTGTGATGTAACCACTCCTCCCATTTCAGCCATAGGTGGTGAAGGCGGTATACCTAATTTCCATATAATAGCCGAGGAGCCCTGGATAAGAAAAAGAAAACAAAATATTAGAATTTAATAAATGTGTTTTTGCATTGAAAAATGCAAAAGGTACTTACTATATTTAAATCCACCAGTGGAATTATAATCATAATTAATTAATTATACTTGTAATGTCCAAAGTTCCAATGAGGGCAGTATAATAGAGGCAGTGGGTAAAAACGATCTATCAATCAACTATTAATCAACCTCATGCAGTGGCGGATCAAGCCGTCAGTCAAGACGAAAAATAAAAATGAGTGAGAAAAATTTTAGTTGAAGAGAGGAAAGAGGAAAAAAAAGAAATGCACCCATGAGTTCAGTGGTGATCCAGCAGTTGGTGAAAGGAGAGCTCGATTATTTACCACTTATTTACACAAGCCATGGTGGGGCTGAGGTGGGCGTGGCGACATGAACTTCATTTTGTTCCCCACCCCCCTCAGAAATTCTCTCGATCCGCCCGTCATGAAATCAGTAAAATAGAGACCATAGAGCTAAAAGAGATCTATTAATCAATCAGCCGACTGTTTCTAGAGCTCCTCATTGGCTAAAATTCATGCATCATTCACAAACAAGATAAGATATACACTCAACCCTGGATGAAAACAACAAAAGCATGCTTAAGCTTTTTGTGGTTTGCTTCCTGTCAACAAAAAGAACTGCTTTGTAACTTAAATAACAGAACACAGTTGGTAAGATCCCTATTGTGCCATAGACTAACTTTAGAACAACCAAATGATCTACACACTTTATATGGCCCAATACAGTATCTGAACATCACCAAACTTTTCTAATCGATAATAATGACAACTTAAGCCCATACTGTAGTACAGTAGATGATTCTTTGCCTTCGCTCAATGGGTGCTTAATTGTAATTCATGTGGGATATAATAAAATAGAAAAGAGGTTAAAATATATATATTCCAGGCCATTGATGATATTAACAGGATAGTATAGCATACTTAAAAGTTCAATACAGGAAGTAATTGGTTATCCATACTTAATATAAAAAATCAAAGTACCAGATGCCAAAGTTTGTACAGTCTTTGTTGGACTAAAAAAAATGCAATATTTAAATTTGTCAAATAATTCTTTCCATACCAATTCTATACAGTATTCCTCCCCACCCCACCCATCCCCCGCCCCCAATTTGGTAGACCTTAAGCTGATAATCACTCAGTGTATTTAGTAATTATTTGATTCTTCTAAATGAGCAATTAAATTTCTTTTTTTCCCTTTTTTTTTTTTTTGAGAATTTAAATTTCATCACACATTTCAAACCTTCAAGCATACTTCAATATTATCTACCAGTATGTATTCATACATTTTTTTTTTTTATAAGAACCAGTAAAAGTTTTCCCAGGCTCAGTGTTTTTATTTGTTGGCCGATTTCAGGCTCAAAATACTCTTATTTTGTTCTTGCTTTACACAATTTTCAAACATAGAAAATTATTATTCTACAGCAGTATACTACTCTACTGGAATGTAGTCAAAAATGGTCCCAGAAAAAATGCTCCTGAAAAAAAAAGGCACTGGAAAAAAATGGACGTACTGTACTGTATTATAGAGGCTATTACACAGTCACACCTACTGCACATAAGGTACAAATATAATTTTTTGGTTTTCCTATTATTTTACATTTTACCTCAGACTCAATTTGTATTTATTTTGTTCTTAATTCAAATTAACAGTAATTTCATACTGAGTGTTCTTATGAAGTGTGTTCATTATCAAAAAAAAATTGTAGTGGAACTTAACTGTGCAATATGCATTATATAATGTAAAATATTATTTTATTCCCATATTCAGTAAAACAAATTTTAAAGTTATGTAATTAAATTGAATATTATATTATAGTATCAAACAGAAAAAATATAATATACACAAAGGCCTAACATACAGTAATCTTTGTTGGTATTTGAAAATGTCCATGTTTGGGTTAAAGTACAGGTAGTTACACAGTACATGCATCCAACCACCATGTTTGTTCCAGAACATTTATTCAGTATAAAGTCAGTAGATGTCTACTACTAAGCAAAAGAGATTTTATGGAACACTGCAAAAAATTGACCTCATGAGAGTCTACTACTGCATGGTTCTGCTAACCTGTTCATTACAGCCTATAATTGAAGGCAATATAACTGCTAATTTTATAAGCCAAACCATATTGTTTCTATATTAGAAAACAATCAAACTTAAAATAGATTATAGTGAGTGCAGATTATAGCATTACTAATATTCTTGTGTTAACTGGATAGATGAACCTTACAACTGAATTTAACTGAAAGGAATTTGGTCCATAACAAAATCACACAAAAAACTGTTGATACAATTTTGTATGTTGTGCAAGCCTTTGGTACCATCAAATACTGTGCCAACATTCAGTGCTTTTTGTTTATTGATTTTGTACTTTGCCTGAAAATAAACATAAAATGAAATATAAACCTACTGTATAGGTTTGTTTTCACGAAGTTGAGAATATTTTTTTTTTTCAAAGTTTACAGCATTAAATTTATTCATAATGTTTATGGCCTACAAAATCTGTAAGTAAGCTTACTGAAATTATGCTCTACTTTCCTCATGATTTGGCAACTTAGAACACAAAACAGAGAATAAAGTAGACCTACATAACGAAGATACACCAGTTGTTAAAACACAAAGGTAGGTAGGTCGCAGTGCTGACTCCAGAATTTTATTAACAGGGGGTTAAAACCAAGGGACTGTCTTGGGCTTTTAGTCAGGGTCTCGATTTCATATCTTTGTTGGATCATAGGGGTTAGAGGGATGGAGAAAATACTACTTTGCTTAGGATTATGGTAGCCATTTTGTTTTTTGCAAAACTCCAATCACAATATCTTTTTGAAACTAAAAATTTTTATTTTTTGTCAATGACCTCAAGTGACATTTGAAAAGAACAACGGATCTAGTGTATGTTTTTTCAGACGGGAGAAAATTACATGCTGACCACCTGCTGACGGTGCTACCACTGATTCGGAGAAGAACCCCATTTCAAGCAAGCATCTTTAAAGGGTTCCTCTCTACAAATATGATACTATGTACTACTATACTATATACATGATTTGAATATCCTGTCAATTTTTACTGATTTTGTAATATTTTGATATGGATAGCAATAAATATAACAAAGTACTCTATGGGATTTCAAAAGGCATTTGTGGCCATTCACACTGTTGGCCTCTGTCAGTAAAAATACAAATACAAAACAGTAGTTATTATTGGATGCATTATGGTACTTAGGAATGTGGTAATTTTGGAAGAGGAAATTGACTAAAATTTCTATGAAATTTGATTTTACTTTTATGATACCCAACAGATTTTGTTTGTAACAAGTGACTTTTTTTTTTCTTGCAGGCTTTTCTTTTGACTGAAGTATTTTTGTGCTATTAATAGTAAAATAAGAATTTTATAGAATTGCGTCGGCCGATGACCATTGTGCGCCGCGAGTGGCCGACTTTAGACTTTTTGTGTTAACTAATGTTGTTGTAAGGGGTGTCTTCCTCTGTACCATACTGCCCAGATAACAACCACAAGGACCTCACTTTCAGATCAAATACTTCAGCTTGCATGGATTGTCCTTTTCCACACCGCCTAAATCAACATTTTGTACATCCGTTATTCAATCTTTTCAATCGTTTTCATTCAGTCTCCATTTAATCGATCTTCTTCACTCTATTCAATTATCTAATCATTTTGTAATCCTATTCAGTATTCATTTCATCTATCCTTTCATACAATTTTCTCCATTCCTACTATTTGTTTATCTAATCATCTATCAACTGATATTGGAATTCGTTAAATACATTTCTCACATAGTTGTCTGCTACAGTGGTATGTCAACAAACTCTCTTTTCTAATTGATTACCTATTTGTAAAATTGTTCAATCACGTTAGTTTGTTTGAAATGGTATTTAACTTGCTAAGGTTTGAATATTATAAAGCCAGCTACTCCCTGCGTCGATGAATCCAACTGATGACTGTCGGTGTTCACATAGTCCTGTAAACTGTTCACGAAACCTACATTTACAGTACCCTATCAGAACACCGGTAAATTATATGAAAGGGTTCTTAAAGTAATAATCTCTTCAAAAACTATACTAGGCATACAAAGGACATTGTGGTACGCATGTGTAAAAAGATGTGTCAAGGAACATTGATGCATTTTTACACAGTTCTGGGAGTCAAGGGAAAATCAGTAACATACATGAGGTACAGGTAGAGTTTATCAACCTTACAATTATTATTTAAAGTGTCCTACTTCACTTCTTATCTACACGCTTGCTTATGGTAGAAATAAATTTGTATCCACTTGAAGAAGGTGTTTGGTAGTGCTGTACCCGCTAGTCACTTGGGGAATAATCTTACAATTAGCTCAAATCAGAGAAGCCACAAAGTCGAGTCAGAGTAGAAGTAGAGGAAGGCATTCATATTCTGCCTGTTCTGACTGCCAACATTCCAAGGTTATGCTGTACAGTACATATGTACGCAGATACATTTCTTATCTACATGCAAAATTGTATCCATTTGAAAAGGTGTTTCGTTGGCTGTACCTGTATTTCCTGTTTAAAAGGGGCTTTAAACATGCCCGCGTGTATCTGGTTGTCCCTAAGACAATATGCTTACACTGTAGCCCTAATCAGCAGAGCTACAGAGAATACTTAGTGATGTACTGTAGTGGAAGGCATAATTCTTCCTGTTTTCAATGTCAAAATTTCAAGGTTGTGCTGTAGTCAAAGATACTGTAGAGGAAAACAATTTTTTGATATGTTGTTTAAACTGATTTTTCTAAGACAGAAAAAAGTTGTTTGACAAAAAACTGGGGAACGGTGAATGAGATACAGATTTTTTAATATTTAAATCTGGGGGAATAAGGTGTTACGCCGATCTGAATCTTAAAACAACTTTTTAAGAATAATATATAATACGGCAACTATGGAACTACTGTATAGTATTATTCCTCAAAAATATTAAATTAAAAACCTTGA